TTCACTTTGACTTTTGTAAACTGATAAAAATAAACAAAATATATATTTTTCAAAGCATTCTTACTTTACAGCATGTCTTCACACCAGCCTAAAACGTTTGAACAGTACTGCATGCCTTTGTAACAAGAGATACAAGGTAACAACTCTCGAAAATGCTAGAGGGAATTAGCAGATAAACGTAAATTAATTTGTTAATTCTCTCTAGCATTCTCTAGAATTGTTACAAATACTATGTATTTTATGTTCTCCTCAGCTCCATATAGTGACTATCATGCGGTATTTTACTACTGCCCAACGAAGAACATGCGCTCAGAAGAGAAAACAGCCTCTGCACCTTCGTTTCTACCCAACACAGAACAAATATACATGCAGAAACTCCCGTCAGACGAAGTGTGGAAATGACGAAACGCGTTAGAGGAGGTGACGTCAAGACGCACGCACGCTAACCGGAAGTGTCGCCGCAGCCATTTTTTTGGTTGTCTACATATGGTTTTCAGCCAAATGTTTGTGGAGCCTGTACAGAGCCATTGAGGGAGCTATGTTGAAAGCTGAAAGTTCCTATCTTTAATGTAAGTTATGAATAAATTTGTTTCTATGGTTTTGAGATCTGTCTAAGAGCCTTCTTATCTTTATGAGGACTTTGGAGGAGTACCCCTGAAGTGAAGAAAGTGAAAATATGGATTCCTTAATATAGCCTATGCTTGTGAAAAACTCCCAGAGGGTAATAGTATCTAGTATCACTGTTGGCTGGATCACAGAGGGTAATAGTATCTAGTATCACGGTTGGCTAGATCACTGAGTGCACATATTATTGGAGTGTTCACGGAGTTTCATTTTTGGTTTTTATTATTATTTTAAATAATAAGTAAAAAATATATACATATTTTTTTTTTTGTTTTTGTTTTACACAATTTTGAGAGTGGTTTGTGTTTTGCACAGAGGGGAGTGTTTATATATAGTAAAAGGTAACGCACTATGGATTTTTTTTTTTTTTTGAGGTTTTCATGGAATATGTAGGATTATTTTCCTTCTTACTGGATTGAAGTGGAAAATTTGGGACTTTGGACGTTATTGGACACATTTGAATTTTTATTGGATACCCTTGGGACTGAATTGAAATTGGACATTTTTGAAATTTTATTTATACTTTTTAATTTTTTTATTTATTTTATTTTTGTGTTGAACTTTATTTTATTTTATTTTGTGTTTGGGAAGTTATGTGGTTGATCACAAAAAGGTATATGTTTCATTGTGTACTTTCTAGGGAGAAAGTGTTACTTTTTGGTGGGGGTTAAGTGTAAGGAGGTTATTTATTGATTGTTTTAAATATACATACAGATTCGCTGGATTAATGGCTTTGCAGATTTTGGTTATTCTTCTGTTCATTCACTTTGACTTTTGTAAACTGATAAAAATAAATAAAATACATATTTTTCAAAGCATTCTTACTATACAGCATGTCTTCACACCAGCCTTCATTTCTACCCAACACAGAATGAATATACATGCAGATTCGCTGGATTAATGGCTATGCAGATTTTTTAAAATAAATAAACCAATTATATTTTTAGCATTAAATTGACTTTTCTCATCATGTTGTTGTTTTTGATTTTATTACATAATTTTACTGCTTCATGAATACATTTTAGGACGTGTTTTGTAGGCGCGGTGTGTGACCTTCTATAAGATTGCAGGAATTTTGCACACCCCTGCAGTGTCCTTCAGAACCCATTCTTAGCTACTACTTAGCTATTAGTCAATGCAGATTGCTTTATCAGTCAGAGAAGGTAACATTGTTTCCCCATATGGTGATTCTGAGCTTTTTCACAGCTCATGTAAACCAACCTCCCGGCCATATCCCCCTCCACACAATACTGCTGATACAGGGAATCGGATGCTTGGTTTTATCTGCTAAATATGGTTCTCAGCAGTGTTTTTTATTAATGATTCATATTTTCATTAGAATTCTGGGTAATCCCACAGGATCTACTGAAGAAACAATGCTATAGATACTGTACAGGGGAGCTGCTAAGTTCTGTCCTGGAAGGTCTAGGCCAGGGCTGTCACCTTCATCCTTTCTTCATGACTTTGTAGGTCCCTGGGTCCAGGAAAAGCTTGTGCATTGCAGTTGGTCAACATACACTATGTAGCAAAATGTTTTTGGACACCTGACCATCATACCTATCACCAGTCCAGGTACTGACCTATCTCTCAACAACAGAAGCTGAGAAAGAGGGACACACTGGAAAGGAAAAATGTGGTAGTCTTCAATAAATAGTGCACTGAATATTGAATGTGGCAAAATGGGACGGTTCAGTAAAGTCAAGGGGCCTATTTAAAACAAAAATTGTTGCACAAATATCAGATAGACCTGAAGCACATTTGCCCATGCTTGGCATATTCAAATCTCTGTGCAAGAGAGAAGGTGTGAGATGAAAATATGGGGGGACTAAAGTTCCTCTTGAAAGTCACCTTTATTAATAACTCCAATGTATTTGAACAAAATTATTGAACAATTTACAGAAATATTAGAAATGTTGCCAAGATTGTGGAGAGGGAAAATTATTCAAATTGTATTTATGACTTGTCCTTCCCAGCACAGTAACACTCCCTGATTTTGTACATTGCTCTCAGGTTGATGCATCTAGCAATTTTCCATTTTGTGCAAAAACACCAATCACTGTCTTACTGTATATAATACAATCACTTACATAATACAATCCCCTATGTAATACAATCACTTACATAATACAATCCCCTATATAATACAATCACTTACATAATACAATCCCCTATATAATACAATCACTTATATCATACAATCCCCTATGTAATACAATCACCTATATAAGGCAATCACCAATATAATACAATCACTTATATAATACAATCCCCTATATAATACAATCACTTATATAATACAATCCCCTATATAATACAATCACTTATACAGTATAATACAATCCCCTATATAATACAATCACTTATATCATACAATCACCTATGTAATACAATCACTATATAATACAATCACTTATAAAGTATAATACAATCCTATTTATAATACAATCACTTATATATAATACAATCACCTACATAATACAATCACTTATATAATACAATCCCCTATATAATACAATCACTTATATGATACAATCACTTATATAATACAATCACCTATATAATACAATCTCCTATATAATACAAACACTTATATAATACAATCTCCTATATAATACAATCACGTATATAATACAGTCACCTATATAATACAATCTCCTATATAATACAGTCACTTACATAATACAATCTCCTATATAATACAAACACTTATATGATACAATCACCTATGTAATACAATCACGTATATAATACAATCTCCTATATAATACAATCACCTATGTAATACAATCACGTATATAATACAATCTCCTATATAATACAATCACGTATATAATAAAATCACATATAATACAAACACTTATATAATACAATCACTTATGTAATGTCCATAGAGGAGAAATACTTATTAATTATTAACAATGTTGGGGGTCAGTCTTCATTCTGTGTGAGTCTCTATATATACACACAGCTGTATGTAGTGAGTGTGCAGCGGACAGAGGCTCTGTGGTGACCAAGGTGAGTGTGGACACGGCATGGCAGTCTATCTATCATTACTGATAATGAAGGGATTCTGCTTCAATATGTTTTGTCTTTACAGATGTTGCTGACCTGGATTGTTGGAATTTTGTGGCTGAGTGCTGTAAAAGGTAGATCAAAAGTAATATTTATGAAAGTACTGAAATCCAATAAATGAAAGGGGCAGGCCAGGGACAGTCAGGCAGGGGGAGGAAAGGTCTAGATGATGCTGGCCATCCTCCAGCCAGGAAATGAGGTGGGCTCTATCTGACCTGCTGCAGCTTCTACTGCACATTGTGAGAAGCTGACAGTGTGCAATGAAATCAGAGTAACAGAATAAGCCATTTCAGTACAGAGGGGAAGGCTGTACAACTGTGCAAGATTGAATGTGAGAATGGAGTTCTGATTTAATAACTTAGTTGGCTAACATAGGGTAACACAAAAACACCAAATGTATGCACTTATAAAATAATACATCTTTTCACTAAAAACCACATTCCCAGTGAAGGAGGTGCTTGTATGTACACATGGACTCCTGGCTGGTGGTCACTGTCTGACAGCAATGATCCTCTGACAAAGCAGTAATGCCCTTGTTACTGTTCATGAAATTGCGGACCCTCAGCGATAGGGCTGGGCATTTTTATTGTCTCTTGTGTATGCAATATTCCCAGTTAAATGGCCATTCTATCTAAAAGTGATGTATGAATTCAATGTGTGGTCTATTGGACTGGGTGATTTGTTGAGTTATTTCGTAACTTAGGAAAAACCTTTCTGCCAAAGCTCCTAGCTTGGGTCTGCCCTACCTGGGCATTTCAGGTGTTCCCCTTCTCTTGTTACATTTTCCATTACATTAAATATTCGGCAAGGATGGTGGGAACCCCTCATAATGGGCACAGTAGGTGTGCAACCTTTAAACTTACCACAAGGATGGTGGGAACCCTACATAAGGGTCTCAAAAGTTGTGCAGAACCAGGAACTTAGCATTGGGATGGTGGGAACCCCTCAAAATGGGCACCGCAGATGTGCAGAACCTATAACTTACTGCATAGATGGTGGGAACCCCTCCTAATAGGCACAGCAGGTCTTCAGAACTGAGAATCTACTGCAGGGATGGTGGGAACCCTCATAAAAGGCACGGCAGGCATGCAGAACTGAGAACATTCTGCAGGGATGGTAGGAACCCCTCATAATGGGCACAGCAGGTGTGCAGACCTTGGAGCTTATCATAGGGATGATGGGAACTCTGCATAAGGGTATCAACCGGTGTGCAGACCCTTGAATTCAGTGCAAGGATGATGGGAACCCCTCATAATGGGCACAGCAGGTATGCCGACCTGGGAACTCTGCACAATACCCTCATAATGGGTATTCAGCACAGGGATTTCCCTAATAAATGCCTGAAAAATAGAAGAGACTTTTGTGGTGGGATTCACTTCTCCAGCTCTCACCAAACATCAAAATGTCAGTTTTGTGTGAAGTGCCCATTTAAAAACCACATTTCTCATTTGTTGCATCCAGGTGCTGAGGTCTGCTACAACAGAGTGGGATGCTTTAATGATGCCAAGCCCTGGGCGGGCACTTTGGAGAGACCCATTACAAAGTTACCTTGGTCCCCGGAACAGATCAACACTCGATTCCTGCTGTACACCAGGAGCAACCAGAACAGCTTTCAGGTAATGGATAATGCTTTAGCTTTGGTTTAGCTTGAGTGGGTGAGGACACAGCAGAGCACAACATAAATCATGACACAGGACAGAACATCCCTCCTGCCTTTCAGTTTTTTTTCTGTCATATTATAATTTATGTAAAGCTCAACTCTGTGGAAAATGGAAAAAATCCTTTGCAGTGGGACTCCTTTTGAACTGGCAAGGTGCTGGTTTCTACCATACTTTGCCGCTTGGTCACTCAGAACTGGAAAGCAATTGAAATATTGGCTTGTAGATTGCTTGTAGATTCAGTTACAAGTTGGAATTGTTCAGTTCTAATTTTCTTTCCCCATTGAAAGCTGATGAACATCAAAAACGGTCATGAAACAGCCAAGTGTCAAACTACAATGGAAACTATATCAACTTAGAAGCCAAGGATGGAACCATCTTTGTTTAGGCACCATCCAGAGTCACCATAAATTTCACAAATGTCTGATATACAATATATTGCCAAAAGTATTGGTCGGCCTGCCTTTACACACACATGAACTTTAATGGTATCCCAATCTTAGTCCGTAGGGTTCAATATTGAGTAGGCCCGCCCTTTGCAGCTATAACAGCTTCAACTCTTCTGGGAAGGCTGTCCACAAGGTTTAGGAGGGTGTCTATGGGAATGTTTGACCATTCTTCCAGAAGCACATTTGTGAGTTCAGGCACTGATGTTGGATGAGAAGTCTCCGCTCTAATTCATCTCAAAGGTGTTCTATCGGGTTGAGGTCAGGACTCTGTGCAGGCCAGTCAAGTTCCTCCACCCCAAACTCGCTCCTCCATGTCTTTATGGACCTTGCTTTGAGCATTGGTGTGCAGTCATGTTGGAACAAGAAGAGACCATCTCCAAACTGTACCCAAAAAGTTGGGAGCATGAAATTTCCAAAATGCCTTAAGATTTCCCTTCAGTGAAACTAAGGGGCCAAGCCCAACTCCCGAAAGGCAACCCTACACCATAATCCCCCCTCAACCAAACTTTACACTTGGCACAATGCAGTCAGGCAAGTACCGTTCTCCTGGCAACCGCCAAAGCCAGACACATCTATCAGATTGCCAGACAGAGAAGTGTGATTGGTCACTCCAGAGAACATGTCTCCACTGCTCTAGAGTCCACCACGGCATCCGACGCTTTGCATTGCACTTGGTGATGTAAGGCTTGGATTCAGCTGCTCGGCCATGGAAACCCATTCCATGAAGCTCTCTACACATTGTTGTTGTGCTAATCTGAAGGCTACAAGAAGTTTGGAGGTCTTTAGCTATTGACTCTGCAGACAGTTGGTGACTTCTGCGCACTGTGCGCTTCAGCATGTGCTGACCTCACTCATTTGTCATTTTACGTCCCCTACCACTTGGTGGCTGAGTCGCTGTTGTTCCCAGTTGCTTCCATTTTGTTATAATCCCACTAACAGTTGAGCGTGGAATATTTAGTAGCAAGGAAATGTCACGGATGGACTTATTACACAGGTGGCAACCTATCGGTACCACGCTTGAATTCACTGAGCTCCTGAGAGCGACCCATTCTTTCACAAATGTTTATAGAAGCAGTCTGCATGCCTAGGTGCTTGATTTTATATACCTGTGGCCATGGAGGTGATTGGAACACCCGAATCCAATGATTTGGAGGGGTTTCCCAGTACTTTTGGCAATATAGTGTAGATCAGATGCAGAATTATGAATTAAAGTAAATACAATAGCTACTAAACATCATAAAGTTTCTGCTTTTTCTCTGACAGCAGTCACTAATAGATAATAATTTACTGGGTAATCTGTTTCTGCAGGTAATCAGTGCTGCTAATCCATCCACCATTTCCTCCTCCAATTTCCGCACCTCCAGGAAGACCAGCTTTGTCATCCATGGATTTACTGACAGCGGCGAGGCCTCTTGGCTGTCCGATATCTGTAGGGTAAGTAAACCTTTCTTCGGGCCTCCTGTTTCATTGCTGGAGTTCAATAATGTACACGATAACAGAGCCCGCTGTCATGGCCTACCTCACAATTAGAGAGCAGAAGCAGGTGTGGATCTGCAATCACATTCAGTACCAGTCATTGTAAGGCATAAAGCTGACCCAGAGGGTCAGATGACCTTCTTAATAAAAATTACTTTTCTGTCTACAGCTAGTAGGACTAATTGAGTTGATAAGTTCGTTTGACGTGTTTTTAGGGTCAAGAAAATATCTGTTATTTTGCCGTTAGTTCCTTAATGTAGTCAGGCACTCCACAAGTTAACTGTCCTTATTGTAAACACTCCTTTTTAACTAAAGAAGCCTTTCCTACCCAGGGGCGGACTGACAACTCATGGGGCCCCCGGGCAATAGGGGATCATGGGGCCCCTGTGTCCTTGCCCAACTCAAAAAACCCTATGAAAACCAGGGGCATCTCATGGGACCCCCTACTGACCCCGGGCCCTCAGGCAGTGCCCGAGTTTCCAAATAGTCAGTCCGCCCCTGTTCCTACCACTGTGGCAGCAAAAAACCTTTCTTATTACAAAGGGAAGCCATTTCCTACAGCTTTTACTGTAAAGAGCCCTTTCACATTACTTTTACAATAAAACATTTCCCTGCACTGATGAAAATGTGTCCTTACCCTATATGTAACTGATGCCCCGTAGTGTAGTAGAATATTTTGAACTTGATGGATGGGTTACTTTTTTAACCCCATTTACTTTATTACTATGGCAGCTGCTAATATGCTTAGCAAACTGTAATCAATTTACGGGGCAAGGTTGCCATCTTCATATTGGTATTCTTGAACATCCATATAAAATATACTGAAAAATAATTTCTGCAGTGTGCTGTCCCTGCCCTCATGATATACAATGTCTAACCCATACATCGACATTAGGGATTGGGTAAAAATCCCACACACCTACGCTGCTATTTTTTCTTGTAGAAACTTCTTGCAATTGAAGACGTGAACTGCATTTCCGTTGACTGGAGTGGAGGATCCCGCACTGCGTATTCCCAGGCTGCTAACAACATCCGCGTCGTGGGGGCTGAAGTCGCTTATTTCATCGACATTCTTTCGGTAAAGTACAACCGGAGATAATAAACATCACAAAAGAAGGATAACAGGAGTACTAGGGCACACATAAAAGGTCAATGCACCTTTAATAGGATAATGACAGTATGGGGTTTATTTACTAAAGCTGGAGAGTCCAAAATCAGACTCCCTTCTGCATAGAAACCAATCAGCTTCCAGGTTTCATTGCCAAAGCTTCATTGAACAAGCTGAGGTTAGAAGCTGATTGGTTTCTATGCAGAAGGGAGTCTGATTTTGGACTCTCCAGCTTTAGTAAATAAACCCCTGTGTGTCCAACAGAGGTTGCTAATGCACTTATGGCAAGGGCAAAAAGCCGTACACAACAGAACAGAAACACTGCAAAAAACATAGCAGTTACCAATGGTACTGCAAACATGGAGGAACTGCTTTCTCCAACTCTGTGTTTTGGGGGGTTTACATACCCCATTCTCAAGGGCACAAAGTTGTAAACAACAGAACAGAAAAAATGCAAAAGACAGAGCAGTTACCAATGGTAGGGCAAACATGAAGGAACTGAGTTCTCCAACCCAGTGTTTCGAGTTCTCCAACCCAGTGTTTCGAGTTCATATACCCCTTTTTCAAGGGCAGAAAGGTATATGCAACAGAACACGAAACAGTGCAAAAACATAGCAGTTATCAATGGTACCGCAAACAAGGAGGACCTGGGTTCTCCAACTCAGTGTTTCCAGTTCACATACCCCTTTCTCAAGGGAAACAATAATCAGTTCAGCATAATATGGAATACAACTCTAAGACCATAACAAGATGACATTTTCATAAAAGCTTAGAGTGCATGTATAGCACAATGTAATGATTTCTATAGGTTCACATATAACATAGATCATTGGCATGGCTGGTAGCAATGGTTGTCTTTCACACTATATGCATTTGTTGAAAGAGCCTTCCAGTAACTTTAATGACCTGAACGTTGGCTCACCAGAGTTATTGCAATCTAGTACAGCCTTTCCCAATAATTTTACCTCAGAGGAACCCCTAAAATCATTTTCATGTGTTTGGGAACCATTACTAAATTCATTTTATTTGGGGTCATGGGAGAAAATGCTCCTTACATTGGTGGTCAGTAGGAGTAACCCTTATGGTGGTGGCAGCTAAACTGACAGCTAAAAAGATAATTGGGAAATACTGCTGGCTTTGCCAAGGGGTGACCCTAGAACCATGCAGACACCATCAGATAGGTACTGCTCACAGAATCCCTAGCAACCTTGGGAGGAACCCTAGAATTTCACAAAACCCCGGCTGAGAATGGTTGCTTTAGTATGTGGAGACTATAGAACAGCCTTTCTCAAAGAGGGTTCCAAAGAACCCTAGGGTTCCTCCAGAGGTTGCTAGGGGTTCCTTGACCTATGCACAATTTCTGAATGCCTATCTGTAAAGGGGGGATTCTTCCTGTTGACCTCAAATGTAGGGAGCATTCACCTTACTGACCATTATGTTAATATGCCATAACCTGTAGATATATTAAAAATTATCAGCGGTTTCTTGAGACCAGAAAGTTATTTCAAGGGTTCCTCTGAGTTAAAAAGTTTGAGAAAAGCTGCTTTAGACCCTCTAACAGAGGATCCAGCACTTTGGGAAGTTGGCATCTATTGCTCCTAAACGACAGTTATTCACTGAAGGGGACTGTCACTATATTGAAAGTGTAAATAAAATCTCTTCTCATAAGGAAAATAAATATTTGTCTCACATACAGCCCATGATGCTGAACATCACTTTAATGAAAGAAATAAATCACCGAAGACTCTCCAAAAGTCAACACTTCCCAGAGTGTTGATCCTCTGGTCCCCCTGCTACAATCTATAGTTCCTCCCATCAACCCCCCACATTTTGCAGAACACAGTAGACATGTAGTGGGCAGTGTGGGAACCATAGAGCACAGCAGGGGACCAGAAGATCAACAAATACCTTGGGGGAGAGGGCCACCTAGTCGCCCAAAAAAGAAAACGCACTCAACACCTCCTTACAAGACAGTGAAGTTTTGTATCTTGTTTTCTGTGAAAAGCCCCTCCATATGCACCTTACTTTAGAAAGCTAGCTCAGTTTGCTCACTTTGAGAGATTTCCTCCAACTTTCTGTAGTGTCTCTGGGATAAGAAGTGAAGGGAACATTTCCCCCAATGGTACACAGATAGAGAAAAATTAAACATAAGGGGGTTCTAATCCTTCTCTATCTGTCTAAAACAAATAAAACATTTTTTTCTATACATACATTTTAATTAATATTCTATATTCTTTATGCAAATTATAAATTTTTTTGTTGCTGTATTGCTCTAGTTCTTCCTGCTTTTGAACTTTATTAACATTTAACATTGGTGCATGTAATATATGTTTGTAGAAAAACTTTGCTTACTCTGCGGCAAATATCCACCTGATTGGACACAGCCTGGGTGCCCACACCGCTGGAGAGGCTGGCAAGAGGGCAAAAGGCATTGCAAGGATTACAGGTGACTGCTGAGAGAGTTTGTGTGACTGCACTAGGACAGAGTATGAAGGCTAGGCTGCACTAGGACATAGTATGAAGGCTAAGCTGCACTTGGACAGAGTATGAAGGCTAGGCTGCACTAGGACAGAGTATGAAGGCTAGGCTGCACTAGGACAGAGTATGAAGGCTAGGCCGCACTAGGACAGAGTATGAAGGCTAGGCCGCACTAGGACAGAGTATGAAGGCTAGGCTGCACTAGGGACAGAGTATGAAGGCTAGGCTGCACTAGGACAGAGTATGAAGGCTAGGCCGCACTAGGACAGAGTATGAAGGCTAGGCTGCACTAGGACAGAGTATGAAGGTTAGGCTGCACTAGGACAGAGTATGAAGGCTAGGCTGCACTAGGACAGAGTGCTAGGACAGAGGGAAGTCTTGGAGAAGTTAGAAGACCATTAAAAACTTAAAAACTCAGTTGTCATTTGGAATGGTATTCTACATAGGTCACAGTCTGCGATGACCCATCACTGGAAGTAGGAAAACTCCATGATAGGTTGTTACCTGGCTGCTTTTGAACTGGACAGTTCATGTTTTCTAATTGCGGTCAGGTTCATTTAATTGCTATGCAGTCTCTAGTTTGGACATGCTGTATAGAGGAAACCAGACCTCCTCCCCCCCAAAACAAAAAATGTGGCCAGTCCGGCTGTCAGTATATTAGTCGTTTACATTCTGTGTATCAGGAGCTTGGCGCTATGTAAAACATAGTTACATAGTTGGTCTGGCTGAAAAAAAGACAAAAGTCCATCCAATTCAACCATTAAAAAAAAGAAAGTTATAATCCTATACTCACAGTTGATCCAGAGGAAGGCATAAAAAAACCCAGCAAAGCACGATCCAATTTGCTCCTGCAGGAGAAAAAAAATTCCTTCTTGATCCGAATGATGAACAAAGCCTAATTATAATTATTCACAATGTATGATTAGTTAGGTCGTTCAAATGTCACATGTTGGCAGAGTAACTCTTCCTCTATGGTAACTCTTCATGTTCTTCTTTTTCATTGCAGGAAATAGTGGAATCCAAGCAAAAGCAACATGCAGTCTTTGAGTCCTTAATGAAGGAGGGGTGCAGGCTGTCCAACATCCACAGAAGGCCACAGAATGTTTACAGAGATGACACCATTGACAAGAGCGATGGTTTGAAAAGAGGAGATTAAGGGGGATATGATCTCCATGTATAAATACATCAGTGGTTCATATAGTGAACTCGGTGTAGAGTTATTCACCTGAGGTCATCACAGAGGACAAGGGGGCACTCTTTACATCTAGGAGGAAAAGAGATTTAATCTCAAAATATGTGAAAATGTGGAATAGACTCCCTCAAGAGTTAGTTCTGGCCAGCTCAGTAGATTGCTTTAAAAAAAGTCCTGGATTCTTTCTTAGATACACAGAATATAACTGGATACTAACGTTTATAGGTAAAGTTGATCCAGGGAATATGCGATTGCCTCTCAGGGGGACCAGGAAGGAATTTTTTCTTCCTGCAGGAGCAAATTGGTTCATGCTTTGCTGTGTTTTTTTTGCCTTCCTCTGGATCAACTGTGGGTGTAGGATTATAACTTTTTTTTTTTTTTGGTTGAACTGGGATGGACTTTTTTTTGTCTTTTTTCAGCCAGACTAACAATGTAACTCAAAGACCGCATGTTGCTTCTGATTGGATTCCATTATTTACCTGCAATGAAAAAGAAGAACAAGAAGAGTTACGATAGAGACTAAAGCCGGCCATACATTGGTCAAATACCGAAAGAATTTTCTTTCAAAAATCTTTTCTAAGCATTTTCATTTGAATTTCACACCATTAGTGGGTCACAGAAACAACAAATTTTCATGTGACCATCGAATTTGAGTGATTGGGCATGTTGGAAATTTTTTGAAAAACAATTTTTGAATCATTGATGAATCATGCGAGAAATATAAACGAAAAAAAAGAGAAATGAGCATAAGCTGACCTGGAAAGAAAAGAACATTCTTGGCCACGAAAACTCTTTTCTGTAGCAACATGAGGTGAAATTGAAGGCTTGCTTGGTTGAATTTTCTAAATCAATGGTGGCACCATTGGATTACAAAAGGCACAAAATTTCCGATTTTCTAAAGAAAATTCATTTGGAATTTGATCCATGTATGGCCTGCATTACTCTAACATTTTTCTCAACCCATAAAAGTAATGCCCACTTTTGCCTTACTTTCAGTACATCCCTCTTATTTGTTTTATGTCTATGTAAAAGACCAAAGGATTTATCCTTGTATCCGGAAATAACATCTTATATTCTTCACCAAACTTTTCACTAGAAATAAAATGTTGATGTTGGTATAAACAAGACAAATCACAGAATATATTTAGTGAGTGTGTGTAGTGGGGTAAATGAGAACACTGTGTGGATAACTCCATTTCCTTTGGCTCTCTCTCTACCAGGTCTGGATCCAGCAGAGCCATACTTCCAGAACACACCCATAGAGGTCAGGCTGGACCCATCAGATGCCAAGCTTGTCGATGTCATTCACACGGACTCAGGACCTCTCATCCCTAGCCTAGGTCAGTCCTATGTGTTACTTCATTAAAAAAAAAATTATTTTCAGTGCTTTTTTTCTACTGTGGAAAAAATTAAATAACAAGTACACACAAAAAAAGGAAAAAAGCACATTGCAAAGCAGCATGAGAAGGTTGTGTTAACCAATATAGAGTTTGAGCAAAATGCTGGAATTTTGTATTTAGGAGTGTTGGATATCATTGGGGTTGATTAAACCCTCTGTGTAGCCAAGGGGCAAATGCCGACAATGGGCAGGACAGATACTAGAGCAATGTATGGCTCCATTTATACTTGTGACCTGGGGACGTGTGCCAATACATATGGAAATCTCCCGCTATACACCCATTCCAGCAAACTTTGACCAAAAAGAGGGATTATTATTTTGCATACATTGCAATGCATGTTTAAGCTAGCCAACTGAATCAAAGTCTTCAGAGGGTTCTTTGTTCAGAATTTTTCCCACCTGATGAGTTATATTTATGTTGAAGCTACTTGGATTTGAGCACAGGTATATCTTATTTCTATTATATGTGGGAACCCCAGTGGGGTTCCTGACCATTAGCAGTCTCACTGAAAGCAATGGGAAACTGACAACTCCCACAGCTAATTGCGGCGGCTCATATGTAATCGCTCATGAAGTGATTATCTGCAGGTTTGCACCCAGGACCGATCACTCTTACAACCCGGTCACACTGGGTGTGCGACTTGCCATGCCATGCGAGTTGCAAATCGCATGGCAAGTGTCCACAATTAGAGCGGTCATATTGGTGCGATTCCGACTTGGTCGGAGCCGCACCGATTTCTAAAGCACTGCATGCACTTCTTCAGGTGGGACTTGCATAGACATCTGTGTATTGCAAGCCGCAGATGTCTTGCAAGTCCCACCTCAAGTCGGAATGACATCTGACTGAAATCGTGCAACTTCACTGGAAGTCGCATAATTTCAAAGTCGGATTGGTGTGACCGGGACCTTAGGTAATAGCTCAATTACATATGAGCGGCCCCAATTAGCTGTAGGAGCTTTCAATGGCGTGCTTACTGCTGGTAATAGCCTAGAACCTCTCCTGGGGTTCCCACATGTAAGCCCCTTTATCTGAGGGCTTCTCAAATGTGGATGGGGCCTAAGCCCTCAGACGGATGGTCTGAGCAAATGACTGGCAGGTGCAGAGTCAGCACATTAATGGTCAAGAGCAGACAAGCACAGAGTCCAGGTTACAGACAGGTAAATAAAGCAATGATGACCAATCAGTTGTGGTGCCAAATCAGGACAGGAGCTTAATCCAAAATACAAACAAATGTACTGCAGCCAAGCAGATACAAACTCACAGCACCTGATCAGACAAAAGCTCAATTTCAAGCACTCAATTTAATCATACTTGATTAGGGTACAGGTGCACCCTGTTAAATATGATCAGCACATAGCAATGGTTCAAAGCTGATTGTTAGGTCTGGTTTACACCTATGTGTTTTTTGCTTTTTGCAGAAATGTACTACAGCCCATTTAACATGGTTTCCTATGGGACATGTTAACAACTATGCTTTTTTCAGTTGCTGCATTTTTGGAAAGGGTCAAGGACTTTTTTTAAATGCACTATAGACTTCAATAGAGATGCTGCAGAAAAGGATGTAGTGCGTTATTGATGCATTTTTGACACATTCTGTTGTTTTTTAATCTGCCAAACAACAAATTGGCCAATAAAAGCATAAATAAGTAAAAAAGGAAAAAGCAAGCAAAAAAAATGCACAAAAACCACATGTGCAAAAATGCAAAACGCACTGCAGAAATGGATAAAACGCAAACTGCATAGGTGTGAACTAGACCTAACAGTGTTGTGGCAATAAATGTCAGTACTGGGGCTAGTGCAGAGCTGAAGCAGCTCTGTCCAACCTCTCCTTTTAGCAAAAAATTCAATGTTAGGACTGGTTTACACCAGAATCGAATTTGCAATCTACATTTGGGGTGCTGTTAAAGGATAAGTTAACCTTTGTAAAAAAAATAATAAACACATATCTGTAAGAAAAATGTTATTATTTTTTTACTAGGAATCCGCAAAGAACTGCACCCGCGATCAGCAGCTCATAGGTGCAACGTAGGGTTGTCACCTCATCCCTTTAAGCTCTGCGGAACTGCGGAACTCCCAGCATTTTCTGTGCAAATTCCACACCGCATCAGAATCGCACTCCGTTCATGCGAACCGCTGCGGGTGTCTATGTTAAGTTAACAACACCCCGAAAGCGGTCCGCAAAACGCGGTGCAATGTGCAGAATCGGATCGCATAAGTGTGAATACCCATGTGATCCGATTCTAGTGACGACGCATGTTTGGTGCGATTGGAGCCAAAATGTATGGCTCCAATCGCACCACACACAAATTGCATGTGATTTGCACAGGAATGCGGTGCGGTTCCTGTGCGAATCACATGCGATATACCGCACTGCATATATGTGAACCCGGGCTAAAACCAAACACATATTAATTACACAGGTTCGGAGGGTAATTTATTGCAGATAAGACACTCAGGCTAGGTTCACATATGTGCGGGTGGTGCCGCTGCGGATCCACACAAAAATATGTGCAGCTGCACCACCCACACAGAAGAATGCGGACCCACAGGCTGGTGCCATTAATTCTAATGGCAGGCCACCTGCACTGGAAATCACAACCGTACTGGAAACTGAGGTTCCCCTGCGGGTTGCGTTTTCAGAAGAAGTGCAGGCAGTTAAACAATGATAGGAAGAAAGAATGAGCTATGCAGAGCTACATGGTAGTGCATTCAGAACTACAAGCCGTCAGCTGCAAAGGCTGTTGGTTCCTGTAGTTGTCCCATTCACAGAACTCTGTGAATGACACGACCAGACAGTGTGTTTGGGGAGAAGATCCTCGCTGTCACTAGAGGTGGAGGGAACAGCAATGAGAAACATGTTACATGTTCCATCTTAAAAATTGGTGGAAGATGTACCATGTTCCCAAAAGTGAACTTATCCTTTAACAATGTATTTGCACTGAACAAAGCTCATACATCATTACATGGGTGCAGGGACCTTCCAGCATCCATCACTGGCCCTCCTTGAACCACATTGGATTTCTGTTTGGAGGAATACCCCTGAAACGAAGGATTGAAAGATATGGATTCCCTATGTTAGCCCATGCTTGAGAATAACTTCAAGAGGGTAATAGTACCTGGTATCATCTTTGGCTGGATTATAGAGGGTACTAGTACCTAGTATCACTATTCACGAGTTTTTCACGTTTTGGGTTTTATTTATTTATTTATTGATTTATGCAGTGGAAGAATAAGTATATATTTATATATTACTTGCACGATTTTTTTTTTTTTTTTTTTTTTTTTCTTCTCACTATTTTAAGAGTGATTTTGTGTTTTGCACGGAGTGAAGTACATATATTTAAAAAAGATAACACACTATGAATTTTCTTTTTCCTTTTTTTTTGAGGTTTTCATGGAATATTTAGGATCAATTTCCTTTTAACTGGATTGAAGTGAAAAATTTGGAACTTGGATTTTGGACACATTGGGATTTTATTGAATTTATTTGAACACAATTTTTCAGTTTAAGTGATTAATATTTATTTTGATTGTATAAATTGATTATATTTGTAGATTTTAATTTTGGGTTGTATGGGGGATTTATATGTTTTATCACGAAAAGGATATGTTGGAATGTATTTGCACCCACAGCAAATTGCAAAAGGCAGAGCGTTTTGAAGGCAGTGTGGGAAATGTGTAAGGGATGTGTCTTTCCAGCATCTCATTTTGGTGTAAACCAGCCCTTAGGGACTTTTTTTCATATGAAAACTGATTTTCTCCCCAAATACGTCTATGGGAATGCAAAAGCAGCTGAAGCAGGTCAACTGCAGGCGAAATGTGCCTGCAATGAATTCTGATTTATCTCAAAGGCATCTCAAACTGATGTCAAAACCACGCTCCAATTGTCCCACGCTGGCCCTTATGGAGATTTATTCCTCTACTCAGTGAAGGATCATTTCTGCAATGGGACACAAATGGGAAAACAAACTTGACAGGTTTTTTTTTAAGAGCTCTTTCACATACGTGTTGAATTTTAAAGCAGCCTTTAACGCATATTATTGCTCTATAGTGTTATTGAGCTTTCAGATGCATAGCATAGGCATTCAAGTACTGTCGGGCGATGATCCTCAAATGCCTGGTTAGATGTCTTTTTATGATTTTTAAGAGGCTAAAATGGGAAATGATCACTTTGACACCTGCAAAGCACCACAGGCCATTTATTGTGCATTTACGGTGCACGTGTGGGAAGGCTTTCTGCCGGCATGATACAGTGGTGCTGCAGGAGGGATTCCCCAGTCAACAACACTGACTGGGTTAATGGGGAAATCGATCGATTCTACCATCAGTGGAAGGAAAGAAAATCGAGTCATCTATGGCTTGTCTTAGTGAGGCTTCAAAAATGCAGACAAAATGCCTGCTTTTGGCACTAGTGTAAACTTAGGTGGGTAGTTAAATACTTCTGGGTTCCGGTGATCCGATGAAGAGTGAAAAGCTGCTGGGTTATCTCTCAAACTTTGGATTGTGGCTTTAACCCTTCCTTGCTCAATCCGAAACAAAAAAAAAAAAGAAAAAAAATATGTTGGTTTAAGGGTTCGTTCACACTTGACTGTTTTTCCAACTCTTGCCAAACGCCCCTATAGCGTTTGGCAAGCATTGGTCCGGCGTTTGCCGAGCGTTTTTAACGCTCGGCAAACGCTCGGCAAACGCCGCATGAGCGGTTCAGAGACGGTTGCTAGGCATTTGCCGAACGTTAAAAAAACACCCCACAAATGTCTATAATGAAGTTTGGATGGTGTTACCGCTTTGCAAAAGCCCCGCAACTGCGTCGCAACCGCACCACAAACGCCGACCGGGCGTTTGCGGAGCGGCACCATAGACTAGAATAGGAGGCTTCAAAGCCTCCTGACTCGACCAGAGACATCCGTTTTGCCGCACCGCGATGCGCTGCGATGCTAACGCTCCCGTTAGAACAGCACCATGTGCTGCAATGGGCAGAATTGTCTGAGGCGTTTGGGAAGTGGTAAAAACGCTTCCCAAATGCCTTTCTGCCGCTTGTAAACAAGGCTAGTGTGAACGTAGCCTTAGAAATACTTTGATGTTTCCTCATGTATGAGTTGGACATCTATGTTTGGTTGTCTATGGTCTGTTGTTTGTATAAAACTAATAAAACCTCAACAAAACGTCACATTAAAGGAACGATAATAGAATGTATAATTATGTTTATAAACGTTTAGGTTTTGGAATGAGCCAGCTGGTTGGCCATCTGGATTTCTTCCCTAACGGCGGAGTCCATATGCCTGGATGTCCTCAGAACATTGAAATTCCCAACATCACGGTGGAAGATATCTGGAATGGTGAGGATTGTATATTTGTAGATGACGGCTTCTCTCTGTGATGCCAGTTCTGATGTACGGCTGCATTCACACCTGAGCGATTTTCTGCTTGAAGCTTGTAGCTCTAAAACACTCAACAAGCCAAATGCTATTCATTTCAATGGCCCCTGTTCACATTATGAGCGTTCTGTTGCCTGAAGCAAAACGCCTGTCACTCAAAAAAGTACATGAGCTTCTTTTTGGCAAATTACAAGTGTTTTTGGCCCCATTGACTTCAATAGAAATACCTGAAAATGTGTGACTTGAGAGTTTTACAAGCATTTTGTTGTGCATTTTCTGCTCAGACAGCAGCTCGCCACCCTTAATTTCCTCCCCTCTCCTCCTCTATTGGCTAAACAAAAATTCCTGAAGCTGTAAAACACTGGCAATACGCTTCTAAAATGCTTGTAAAACACTTCTAAAAATGCTCCAAAACTCTCAGATTTAACACCAGTAAATCTTTAAATTAATCGTTTAATGCTCCATTAAAGCCCAGCCAAAGTGCATCAAAACAAATAGTGTTCAATGTTTTACTGATTGTTTTCTCCTAAAGCAGCCACAGCCACCAGTAATGAAGCCTGTCCTCTGCCAGCATGCTGCAGAGTAGGAATTGTACTCTCTGTGGGGAAGTGGTGATCTCTTTGTAGAGGATCATCCCACCCCTTGCTGAGTCAGAGCTTTGCCTACTGATTGGGGAGCTCTGTCTATGACCTCTGCAAAGAGACCACTGCTTTCACACTCAGAGCAAGGGTCCCACTCTGTAACATGCTGCCAAGGGACAAGCTTCTCTACTTAGGCCAGGCATGTCCAAAGTCCGGCCCGCGGGCCATTTACGGCCTGGGGGTCGGTTTAATACGGCCCTCCAACAGCCCTCCCTGCTCTGTGTAATGTGGCCAACCCACGGCCCTCCCTTCTATGGCAGACAGTCTTCTGCTTGAGAGCAGAGGGCAGTGCGCATGCCTGACTGCGGCGCGTTCTCCCTACTCTGTGTAAATGCGGCTGTCGCACGGCCCTCCCTTCTGTGGCAGACAGTCTTCTGCTTGAGAGCAGTGCGCATGCGTGACTGCGGCGCGTTCTCCCTGGTCTGTGTAAATGCGGCTGTCGCACGGCCCTCCCTTCTGTGGCAGACAGTCTTCTGCTTGAGAGCAGTGCGCATGCGTGACTGCGCCGCGCTGGGAGCGACAGAGGGCTGGTGACGTCAGGGCCGGGCTTCCAGCGTGAAGTGTGTTTCTCTTCCCCTCCCGGCTGCCGAGCAGAGACTTCAGCTCCAGCTACCTTTTTCACCCTTCACATTAGTGCAGGTAAGCTTTTTTTTAATTTATTTTCAATACATTGTGAAAACTCAGCTGTCAGTTGATCTTAATGTTATGAAAATGAAAAGTATGTCATTTGCAATTAACTTGGCATAAAATAATTTATTTGCATTTAATTGTAATGGTTCAAAGAATGTTCGGAAAAAATGTTCGGCCCTCCACCATGTTCACTTCATCCAATCTGGCCCTCTTTGAAAAAAGTTTGGACATCCCTGACTTAGGCTGTGGATGCCTCCTAAAGAAAAAGAACTATAGGATTTTGCAACATCTCAGAGCAAATAAAGGGGACTTTGAATATATCTCGAGAGGTAATACAAAACGCCATATCATAAAACATAATTTTTTTATTAGTTTAAAAACTAGACCAAAAATGGGTATAAAAACCACAATTGAAGTATTCATCATTATAAGGTGTATCAATATAACCACACAAAACAATGCAAAGCAAATGTAAAGATGAGAGCCAACGTCTACGCGTTTCATAGAAAACATTCGCTTCTTTAGGACTTTTCTGATCTCACACATGTATTGTTATTTTTATCACAAAATATAGCCTAAAACAAAGTAAAAAAAGACAGTTGACAGTACAAAAAAAAACATATGCCCAGAAATATTCATAAAACATATTAGGTTCAACCATATAGCTAAATACACAGAATAGGAAGGTGTGTGTGTGTGTGGGGGGGGGGGGGGGGATATATTCAAAGTCCCCTTTATTTGGTCTGAGATGTTGCATGTTAATGAGTTGGGGATGATAGCATTATAGTTACCACATCCAACCTCTTATTTCTGGTATTTGGACTATAAGATTTTTTTGTACCTGTACCTGAAATGTATTTAGCTGGTTTATAATGAGTTTTCAGTTGGACTTTTACCTTCCCTATCTCTTAGATTGTAAGCTCCAAGGATCAGGGCCCTCCTAAGCCTCTTGTATTGCACTGTATTGTTGCTGTATTGTCTCCCGTTATATTGTAAAGCGCTGAGCAAACTGTTGGCGCTATATTAATCCTGTATTATAATAATAATAATCTGTCTTCATGTACTCAGGTACCCTACATAGGTGTTCCTGAGCCCCTGAACCCTGGAACTGCTATATTGTGAGCAGGTCCTGCAGTCAATATACTTGCAAACTATGTCATAATGTATATCCGGAATTATAAACAGGGCTTTTTTCAGCACGAACGCGAGGAAACGCTCTGAATGTACATAATGGCAAGGGGTCCTGGGGTGAGCTGCAGGGTCTATTGATGTTGGCTGATGGGGATCTATTGTAGCTGGAGGAAGCTTTTGTTGTGGGAGGGTCTATTGTTGCTGGGAGAGATCTACTTTTAAGGGAGGGGTTTACTGTTGCTGTCTGCTGGAAGTCCTATTGATGCTGGCTGCTGGGACATCTATTGTTGTTGACCTGAGGTCTATTGTTGCTGGAATGGATCTATTGTTGATGAGGGGGTATATTGTTTGTTAGCACCAAAAAAGGATACTTGGTTTCTGTATTCTCTAAAAGGGGAGGTATGGAAAGTAAATAGGAGGTAGAAGGTGCGTGGGGGGGGATAAGGGGTAACTCAGAAGTGGGGAGTACCTGCACCTATTCTCTGAAAGAAAAAGCCCTGATAAACCTGACAACCAGAAATATTTGTCATTGCTACAGTATATAATGCAGCTGGAGAAATATGTACACTATGGCACCCACAGCATCTCCAATGAATGTTTTTTTTCTCTTACTGGTGTTCTGGATTACAATGAGCATAGCTCTTTCTAGTGGTTGGAGAGAGGAAATGAAAGCCTATTCACAGGGGTAGAGAAGCAAGGGATGTGTGGCTTCATCTCTATTGGTTTGACTCAAGCCATAAGGATTTGAGTGACTTTGACAAGGGCCAAATTGTAACGGGTCGGAGCAACTCCAAAACTGCAGCTCTTGTGGGATGTTCCCAGTCTGCAGTGGTCAGAACCTACCAAAAATGGTCCAATGTGAGAAAACTGGTGAACCGGAGTCAGGGTTATGGGTGGCCAAGGTTCATTGATGCACGTGGGGAGCGAAGCCTGGCCTGTGTAGTCCGATTCAACAGAAGAGCCACTGTAGCTCACATTGCTGAAAAAGTTCATTCTAATACGATAGAAAGGTGTCAGAACACACAGAGCACCACAGCTTGTTGTGTATGGGGCTGCGTAGTTGCAAACCAGTCAGGGTGCCCATGTTGACCCACGTCTACAGTCAAACATGCCTATAATGGGCATAGGAGCATCAGAACTGGACCAAGAAGCAATGGAAGAAGGTGGCCTGTTCTGAAGAATCACTTTTTCTTTTACATGTGGATTGGTGGGTACATGTGCGTCACTTACCTGGGGAAGAGATGGCAGCAGAATGCAGTATGGGAGGATGTCCATCCGGTGGGTGAAGATGCTTTTTCTAGTAAAGTCCATGCCTAGATGGGTCAGGGCTGTTTTAGCAGCAATTGTCATAATGTTATGGCTGACTGGTGTATATACTGTATATATATATACATACTGTATTATTTATATATTAAAATCAATCTTTTTTTTATAGGAGTGGTTAACTTTATAACTTGTAACCACATGAGAGCCATTAAGTACTACACAGACAGTATCGGTAACACTGGAATTTTCACCAGCTATCCCTGCGCTAACTGGAACACCTACCAGGCGGTGAGTGTCTGTGTGCCAATCATCTCCATCCTATAGGATAATCCTAAAAGCTGAGATTTAGATCCCTACTGATGAAATTGTAAACATGTCTCACATCATTCACTGAAAGCTGAACTCCAGGATAGGATAAACATCTCACCATTACTTCTAGTCATCTCCCGCATTAAAAATTGGCATTTTTTTTAAGGAGGTCCTAATTCCTCTATACAGTATAGATCAGGACCTCATTTATAATACCGTTTCCAGTTCTCGAGACCTCACTTACAAAAAGATATTGGTAAGATAGAAGACAGAAACAGGCAACAAAACTGGAGAAAGGTCTGAGGAGTATGCGTGGGTTTCCTCCGGGTACTCCAGTTTCCTTCCACATTCCAAAGACATGCTGGTAGGTGAATTGGCTCCTGTCTAGGTTGGCCCTAGTATGTGTATGTATGAATGTGAGTTAGGGCCCTAAGAACATACGCCCCTTGAGGGTTAGGGACTGATGTGAATGTACAATATGTATGTAAAGTGCTGAGTAAATTGGTGGCGCTATATACAGTAAGTACCTGTAATACATAAATAAAAAATTAAAAAAACACAGGAGTGACTGCAGAACTTAATACGTATAGTTTGGCTTCTCTTTGGCTGGATTCTCCTCTCCATCCCATCAGCTTTTAGCTGCTGTAAGGAGAGGCACGCAGGGGATCAGTTCCTGTAATTGCAAGCCACCACCACTTCACAAATCACCCTCCCTGTCTAGGATTTGATTCCCTCTGCTGCCCGGGTCCCTTCCCTGCAGCACTGTGGCCTTCCCTCCTCTCCTCTTCCGCCAGCTGCTGCAGGCACACTGTCAGGAAGGAGAAGTGGGAAAGGGCCAATAAATATGTCATCGACCCCTTCCTTTTGTGAAGGAATAGAGTGAGTGATCGATGCCGATCATCTCTTCATGTTGATTTGCATGGATAAACAGTATTGGAATGGTGATTCTATTTTTCTAGCTCTGGTTATAGGGAAAAGACTATTTCCTCCAATGGCATTTCAGTTGGACCTTTAAACTTTGGGTTTTTTTAGTTCCTCTGGAAGAACACATATGGCATCTGCAGAAAAGGCATGAAAATGTTTCATTCTTGCTAAATATGCATTTCTCCATCATACAGGGCAGCTGCAAAACTTGTCCCAGCTCCGGATGTCCAAAGATGGGCCACTACGCCGACACTTACAAAGGTGTCACCACCTCCAGCCAAGTCTTCTATCTCACCACTTCTTAAGGGTAAGTAGCAGCCTAGTTAAAAATGTAAAAAGAAACAAAGAGATACTCATCTGCAAATCTTGGACTGTTCAGCGGGGACTGTCTGAAGTTTGATCCATCTATGGGCAGGCTGGTTGTCAATCGATCAACTGTTGGATTTTTTTTACATGCGATTACTGCCCACGGATATAGTTGCTAGCAGTAATCATTGTGTTGTGCTGGCCTGCAAGCAGAACACAATAATAGGAATCATTCCTCCATCAACACTGTATTGATGGGAGAATCGAGCATAATCTATCGGCTGCTTTACAGATAAATAAAAGCATCTCAGAGTTTATTTTTTCACATTCTTTGTTGGGACCATGAAAAGACCCGTTACCACACCATTATTGTGTAGTGTACATCCCAGATAATCCTGCATATGCTGATTTCATCCAACGCGTTTCTTGGATCAAAGTTCACTTTTTCAAGGGATCAAATGAGGTCCAAATAGTGAGAATAATCTTATAAAGAAGCAAAGGTGTCATAAAGGTAACATTCATATATATTGCTTAACTGTCATTGGTGTGTACATTATACAATGCCAAATATAGAACTCCATGTAGTGGATCACAATATGCTGTTTTGTTTTAGAACATACGTCCTTTGCAGGGCTGCTGTTAGAAACCATGGGGCCCCATACAGCCAAACTGACAGGGCCCCATCAAATAGCACAGTTTACTACGCTTCAGTTATGAATGAACACAGTGAGTTCCTGGTACCGATTGCTCATTGTGTTCATTCAGGAAAGGAAGGGGCTGGTAAATGTGATAGACCCAGACCCTTCCCTCACTCTCATCCTGAAAGATCCTAGTGTGTGCTTGCAGCTGCCAGTGGGAAGGAGAGGAGGAAATCTGGCAGCACTGTGGGGGTAAGGAGGGTACACAGGGGGGCCTGGGCAGTAGAGGGAAACGTATGGTGCACAGGGAAGGTGATCGGCACGGTGGGGGGTGGGGGAGGGGGCAGTTACTGGAACCTATCCCCTGTATGACTCTCTCTGCAGTAGCTAAAAGCTGGAGGAAGGGAGAGGAAAAAAAAAACAGCTTTCAGCTGCTGCAGAGAGAGCCATACAGGGGATTGTTTACAGTAATTGCCCCACCCCCCACTGTGCTGATTACCCTCCCTGTCCATATCCGATTCACAAAGCTGCCTGGGCCCCCTGCTGGCCTGGGCCCCATACATGAGGACTGGTGGTACCTCGTTATCCACGGCCCTGGTCCTTAGCATACAATGTCAAAAGTGTACCCTTCAGAAGGCACTCAGTATAGCATGACGTTGCAAGAAAGAGATGGATGGATAGATGGATGGATGGATACAATTGATCCTAAAGTGGCATTCTATGAGGTTGATTTACTAAAACTGGAGAGTACAAAATCTGGTGTAGCTGTGCATGGGAGCCAATCAGCTTCTAACTTCAGCTTGTTCAAGTAAGCTTTGAGAATAAAACCAGGAAGCTGATTGGTTGCACAGCTGCACCAGATTTTGCACTCTCCGCCCTATGTGTTCAGCTGTTGTTTAATACAATAATTATTTGTTATTATTTATTGTCTTTTATATTTATTTCCAGATCACTTCTGGCTGTAAACATGGACCTCATTCCATCACGGCAATGTTTGGATTTTTCATTTGTCCACCAATAAATCTAGCACTTGCCAAAATCCAACTTTTGGTTCTTTTTTCTGAATGTATCTGTCCTCTCGGATAGGATGTACTGAATAATGGAGACATCTGAGACAGCCTGTGCTGTCTACAATAGCCAATCATCACCCTTATTACTATACCCAGTACACTATGCTCAGGTTGGACTCATGGGGAGGGATTTACTAAAACTAGAGCACTCAAAATGTTGTGCAGCTGTGAATGGCAGCCAATCAGCTTCTAACTTCAGCTTGTCCCATTAGGTTTGGACAATAAAACCTGGAAGCTGATTGGTTTCTATGCAGAACTGAACCAGATTTTGCACTCTCAAGTTTTAGTAAATCAACCCACAGATGCTAGAATTTGGTGTTACCACTCCACTGAGTGTGCAGATAGATTATTATCAGTGTCAATCATTTGGTCATAACTCCCAGGTGTCTAGTGGAGGCTTCTCCTTTGAACACAAGACTAGATTTGGTATTATACCGTATTTTCCAGCGTATTAGATGAATTTTTATACTTAAAAACATACCCCAAAAATCGGGGGTCGTCTTATACGCGAGGTATACAATGTGAACATTTAGTTTGTTTGGGCCAAGCTGGCTCAAAACGAACATCCCTAATTTGTCAGCTTTGTATGTAGCTTCGGCTACATACAGTATACCGCGCTGAACCAATCACGGCGAGCGATGTATTCTATTAATGAATACAGAGCCTGCTCGGAATCGCTTAGGTTGTGACATCATCAGCCCACCTCTCTGACTCAGCCAATCCGAGCAGGCTCTGTATTCATTAATAGAATACATAACTCGCTGTGATTGGCTCAGCGCGGTATATTGTATGTACCTGAAGCTACAGTACATACAGTATTACCGCACATTAAGCGGGCTGACAGATTAGTTAGTGTATATTTAATCAAATCTGATGTTTATTACAATCTGATGTTTTTAAATGGTGTTGCCTCGGAAGGGGGGTAGTCTTATATGGCGAGTATAGCCCAAAACCTATGTTTTAACTGGAAAATTAGGGGTTCGTCTTATACACCCAGTCGCCTTATACGCCGGAAAATACGGTAAATAAAACAATGCTGCATTGCAAATTAAATCAAAATAAAATTACACAGAATTAGAGGCGTCCCTAGGATTGGTGTCACCCGGTGACGGAACACTTGGTGACACCCCTTCTGACGATCCCTGCAGGATAGATCGGATCTGCGGATTGAGCATAATGGATCAGACTCCGATCCATTATCCTCCCAATTTGCAGGTCCAATCCATCCTATGGGGTTCATCGGCTTGCAACCTATACATGGTTAACTGATCTCTCCATGAGCTCCACGGAAAGGTAAGTTTTAAAGCAAGCCGATGATCCCTACAGGATGGATCGAATCTGCGGATTGGGGAGTATAACGGATCAGACTCCGATCAATTATGCTCAATCTGCAGATCCGATCCATCGTGCGGGGAACGTCGGTTTGCTTTAAAACTTACCTTTTTTCATGGAGCGGGTCCGGTGTTGCCCCAAGCAATAGGTGTCACCCGGTGCGGCACGCACCCCCCGCACCTGCCTAGGGACGCCCCTGCACAGAATGAAAACATAACTGAAATAAAGTGTCCATGAAAATTAGTTAATAAATGTAAAATCATCAATAATGCTTCAGTGGTATAACTTTTCACAGATAAATGTACTTCTCCACCTGCTGATATCCCAACACCATCAGATGACGTGCTATAGATCATACAGGCAGTGTCATCTCAGTGCTCACAGAACTCTCACCTCAGAGCAATAGAAATGCGCTTTGTAATACCAAATAGGCAACAGGCTCTTCACTTTCCCGATCATCAACCATGAGAGTGGTCAGACACCTTTAACCACTTTGTGCCGGCGCCTCCTGGTCCTTTAAGAGTTTCAGAAGCTGGGAGGCGGGCAGGGTTTTACAGTCATGTGACTGCCGTGATTCGCCATCACGGAGGTTGCATGATCGTAAAAGGTCCTGATCACAAGGGGAGATCGGGACCTTTCCGTGAGTCACGGACATACGCGCTGGGAGCGTGCAGGGCACGCGCTCTCAGCACATATGTATTTTCTAATGGCACACAAGTATGCGGGCCGCTCGGCGTCAAGGCCCAGACGCTGAAAAGCCGCATATTTGCGTGCGCTCGGCGTCAAGGGGTTAAGCTTTCAATAAATTATCAAGCCAGAACTGGGGACCTGTCCCTTTTAAGCAAGTTGGAGGTCACAGATTTCTATCATGCAAAAAATAAATAAAAACGCCATGTAAATAGACAAAAATCACTAGCTCCAAGCTGCACTTCCTTGCAGCTATAATCGCAATTTGCGTCTGCCCAAAACCACGCCCCTTACGTGTTGTGTCACGCCCACGTGACTTCATCAGAGGGATGAGGTGACATTGCCTGTATGATCTATAGCACTTCGTCTGATGGTGTTGGGATATCAGCAGGTGAAGAAGCACATTGATCTGTGAAAAGTTATACCACTGAAGCATTATTGATGATTTTACATTTAATGACTCATTTTCATGGGGACTTTATTTCAGTTATGTTTTAATTCTGTGTCATTTTATTTTGATTTAATTTGCAGCGCAGCATTGTTTTTATTTATGGTTTGGTTGTGGGAAAATTGACGCCTCATGTGGAGTCAGGAGGAATTGAAGCCTCCCATTCAACTCTATGGTGACGGGGTACCCGAATTTGACAGGTACCCGCTCCCACTTCCGCTGCTAGGCAATTGGAAGCAGAAGTTGTCCTCCCTCCCTTCCGTAGTCTTCTGGACACGTGACAGGTCCCAGAAGACTACGGGACCATTCACAAAGTGCAGAGCTTCTCGCGCATGCACAGTGGGCACCAGGCTGTGAAGTCACAAGCTGTCACAGCCAGGTGCCCACACTGAAGATGCTGGTGCCACGAAGAGAAGACAGCCGGTGATACCAGCGGTGGTGAGGACATCACGGGACCGAGGGACAGGTAAGTGGCTGTATTTTAAAAGTCAGCAGCTACAGTTTTTGCAGCTGCTGACTTTTTTTTTTTTTTTTTTTTTTCAGGTGGAATTCTGCTTTAAGTGCAAACCTTGTAGAAAAAAAATGGCATCAAGTGTGCTCAGCTATTGTTAAAGAGAAAGCAAAAACCCTTTGTGGTCTATTTATAAAAAAAAAATATTGCTGTGTGAATGCCTCAAACATTTACACAACTATTGTGACAATCCCCTGTAATTTGTCTAATATGTGTATTTCCTTTGATGGCCAGCTCCATCTAGTGGGCATAATGCATTATTTTCCTGAAAAAAAAGCAATCTGGAAAATATTTCATTATGGCCACTAGGCAG